TTCCTTGCTGAGGTTTCCGGGAAATGCTATTGGCAATTAGGAGCTTGGTTCTCTCCTCTTTATTGTTTCCCCTTTAGTTCATGTGTATGTTTGTGTGGAGGGTGGGTGGCAGAACTTAGAGAAGTGTAATGGCTAACACAACAATCCTAAATGAGGCAAATGCAGGAGAATTTTGTAAAAGAAAAAAAATCCTATAAATTGCAAAGCCTTACCGCTTCAGTTTGACCAGTTTGGGAGATGGAAGGCAGTTGTTTTTTATCTTATTTTTCTTGTAGATAAAGAAACAGCAGGGTAAACACCTATGCCAATCTGCACAGGCTGGGTTTCTCTGTGTGTTTCTTGGTTGAAAATATAAGTCTTTGATTATATAATTAAATATGAAAACAAAACAAAAAAAATCCAACTTTTCTTCTTGTTGAATGAGCTGTTGTGTTGTTGTGTGCCTTCAAGTAATTTTTGGCTCATGGCAACTCTAAGGTGAACCTATCATTGGGTTTTCTGAGGCTGAGAGGGTGTGACTCATCCAAGGTCACCCAGTGTCTCAGCAGGGAATCAAGAGTCGTAGTCCTATGCTCAAACCAGTGCAAACCATTCATGCATTTTTTCCAATTTGTTTTTCATATTATGCAACTTTATTGCATTTTTTCCCTAAAAAAACCCCTATATTTTGGGCAAATCATGATGTTTTGTGCAAATCCATTACATTTTGTAAAAATGAAAAGCAATACATCTTTGTAAAAAAAAATATTTATACAAAATGCAATGTGTAGGTACAAATAATAGCACATTGTTATACTCTTTCTCATTGAGGACAAGAGATTAGCAAATATTCTTTACATTCCTAGGGTTGGCAAGCAAGGAAACTCTGGGAAAAGTGGACTGAAGGCCTCCCTTACATATTTTTTATTGTTCTTATTTTTTATAGAATATCCCAAAAGAAAATATAATAGACATACAGCATTAATAATCTGAGTAACAAGAAAAAAAAACTAAAAGTAGAAAAGATAAAAGAAATTAAAATTTCAATCCCCCCTCTTTCATTATTTGAATTCTGGGATGCAGAAAAGAGTCACTTTAGAGCAGGGGTCAGCAACCTACGGCCCCCGGGCTGGTTCTGGCTCAGGTTGCCAGACATACCAGCCCAGGCGGACCGCTGCCACCGCCGCCGCACATTTTCATCTCTGTGAGGCTGCACACACCGCAGCCGCCATTTTGATTTCCAAAATGCGCATGCAGAAACGAGTCGCGGTCACGGCAGTGACGGCAGCAGCAGCGCACGCAGAGGGCGTGCAGTGGCAACATTCCTCCCCCCCCTTGGCCCAGCGGAGAGGAGGACTTCGGGGGACCAGCCCAAGGCAGAAAAAGGTTGCCTACCCCTGCTTTAGAATTTTGTCTGATCTCAGCTGTTTTCTTTCCAAAATGTGGCTTGTGTATCCAGATGACCTTCAGACTCTTCAGGTTTCTTAATGTGTTGAATAAATGGAAACCACATATCCTAAAACATGTTGTTTGTTATGCCTTGTTTGGATCACGGTGATCACTTTATTAGGCCAACCCAAAAGTGCAAAGTATATTATGCTAGCTTCTAAGTTCGCTGGCTTCTTCATCAGGCAAAGATGTTAAGAAGACATAAGCATGAAGATGCTGCAGCAGTTTGCTTTTGCTTGTGGTTACTGGAAGGAGTAAGAATCAATCTCCCTCTTCTTCACTCATCTCACTGATTTAATTGAGTACAATGACTTTTGAAATTTGAACTGAGTCTACCGCTGTTTGCTTTGGTTATTTAGACTGTTAGCTTTTATTATTGCTTTAATATAAACAAACAGAATTGTACAATATTAAGTAGGATGCAGGGTAACATGCCAAAGTCAAAATAAAAGTGACATACTCAAGAAAAACATTTTAGATATTCTGGCCAAAATGTATCTGATGATATTCTGAAAGTCTACAGCTATCGAAGCAAGCTAAGGACAATGGGGCAAAGTGGGAGGAGGGAAAATGGGGCATATATAAAGCAGCTGACAAAGTGGGATGAAAGAAGATTAATCAGGATTGTCCCTGCCAAATGCAGGCAGTTGGAAGATATGATCTTGGTTGTCTGTCCTTTGTGAGTCTGCAAGCTACTTTGTGAGCATAGTACCATAGATCTCTTACTGTACTCTAAAGAAAATTATATTGCTACTTCTTCTCCTTTTCTCCATGGTCAAGAAGAATCAAGATCACTACATCAAGATCACCAAAACCAATCTAAGCAACAGTTTAAGCAAACATCCCATATAAGAGGAAGACCTGTTACTCGGACCCTGTCACTTTTATTCTCGTATAGGATTTTTAACATGTTTGCCCAGTGAAAAAGTAAGCAAACTTCAAAAGCTAGTGCAATAAATATTGCACTTTTGGGTTGGCCAGATATCACCATGATGAATATTTAGGATTTTGCTGTATTTTCTGCAAAGTTACCCCTAAATATGTATTTTTTCCTATTATTTATGTAGCCCTGGATGACAAGTCATTTTTTTTTCCTATTGAAGCAATATATTAACCTTTATTTCATCAACTCTCTGAAGCCCCTGGTTCAGATAGTAAGATCATCACACTATTTTTCAAATATGGAAATCTGTCCTAATTTACCACTAATTTCTTAGCCAGTGATAGCACCTCTTCTATAAATAACTACACTGGAGGTTATCTAACATATTGCCTTATATATTCTTGACAGGTCTCCAGAATGCCACAGATCAGGCTCTGACAATAACATCTCCAGTGGTACAGCTCAACCCAAATAGAGTTCTTAAGGAATTCTGTGTATATGTTTCAAGCTGGCAGCCAAACATTTCTTTGTCAAAGAAAGGTTCTTCCACTCAATTTTAAATCTCTGTAATGAAGTATCAGCAAGGTTTAGGCTGGTTCCCCAGGAATATGAGCTTCGTGAGACTCATAGCTCAAACTCATTAATTGTGAATACCATTGTGTAGTTCAGAGAATGAATGTTGGGTCAACATACTCCTCTCTTCCTTCTTTCATATCTCTTTTCATGACTGCTTTCTCTAGAGAGATCCTGATTCATTTTAAACAAAATTTCTCTATGTCTGAGGCAGGGCATTGTAACATTTTGCAGACTCAGACACAGAAAACCCACTGGCAGTTGAAATAATGCAACTGTCCCACTCTTATCCTTGGGAACATATTTATAAGTGTAGCATTTCTGGAAGGGATTTACCTATCATTGTGCATGCATGAGTCACAACAATCATTACTATGATTTCTTTTACTCCTTCCATTCTTCTTGGTGAGTCTGCTCAGATCTTTAATTTAACAAGAATTTTGCTTTTAAATCCCATTCCTATTGAAATTAAAAGGCAAATTCTTACTCATAGTGTCACATAATTCTCCTCAAAATGTATTTCTCACTTGGTTTTAACAACTATTTAACTTTCTCTCTTTCCATCCAACAAACAACCAGATTTTAAACCCTCCAGAATCTGTTTGCCATTTTCCAAATCTTTTTTGAGAGCAGTTCTCTCTATCTCTTTCTCTCTCTCTCTCTATAGCAGCCATCTTTTCCTAAGAAAAGCAATACTGATTGACTTTAAAAACAATACATGAAGCTCTGTTAATCCCCCAATAAAGATGCTGTTAATATTTAACTGGCATTTATTTAAACTTACAGTAACTGTCCTATTAAATTTAAATTAACTGTGCATTTGGGAGTCTTCCCCTAAAGCCTAGCTGGGACTTGGCCACTATTTAGCCCTCTCATGCCTGTACTTTATATTGGGTGCTTAGCTATAAAAAGGAACATTCTATTTGCCCTTTAAAGTCTAGTGATTCAGGGGCTGTTTTTCCTCCTTCCTATCTCCCCTCTGCTCTCTGTGTCTTTATTTCTTGAATAAAGAATGTTAACACTTCCCATGCTAGTTTCTAGTAGCCTTTCTGTTATACCAATAATGAGAATTAAAGTAGTTAGGCACTATGATGGCATAAGTGTTTTTCTTCCAAATAGTGCAGGGTTTCATTCAAGGGACAGCACAAGTGGAGTTGTGCCACCAACAATTAAGCAACACTTCTCTTTGCATTTTGATAAGGGGTGAGGGATTGGAAGATAGCTAATGGGACATGATCACATTCTGATATTGATTGTTGTTGTGGGCCTTCAAGTCATTTCCAACTTATGATGACCCTATCATGGGTTTTCTTGGCAAGCTTTGTTTAGAGGAGATTTGATGTTGCCTTTCCCTGAAGCTGAGAGCATATGACTTGCCCAAGGTCAACCCGTGGAGTTCATGGCCAAGTAGGGAATTGAATTCTGCTCTCCAGAGTCATAGTCCAACACTCAAACTGCTATGGCAGTTGGCTCTTTCTGATACTGATATACTATCCAAAAATCAAACAAATAAGATTAACAAGTATCAAATACACTCTAATTTCACCTTTCCTCCTCCCCACCCCCACTTTTTTTCTTGTTGGTGAAAAACCGAATGGTTAAGTCAAGATTAAAATCTTTAGAGTATTCTCTGTAGACGATTCTAAATGTTGTTAGACTTCATGTCCCAGGTGGTTTAGTCAGCGTTTTGAATGAAGATGGATTATGGGCAATTGACTCCAACAGTATCTGAAGCCTCGCTGGTGGAGAACCACTGTATCTGGACTTTTGTGAAATGTTGTAGAAATGTCTGGATTTCTATAGGACATTTTCTTTGAACCTGATCACATTTCATTGTATAACTGTGTGCTTTAGTTAATCATAATGAAGAGAGATGTAGGCATGGGGTCCCATTTTGTCTAGGACTCTTCCCCCTATGCAGTCACACAACCCTAGACTTTAGGTTAGTTGTTGTTGTTACTGTTATTGTGTTCCTTCAAGTTGTTTCTGACTTATTGATTTATGGTGACCCTAAGGCAAACCTATAATGGGGTTTTGTTTGCAAGTTACTTCAGAGGGGGCTTGTCATTGCAATCTGCTGAGGATGAGGGAATGTGCCTTACCTAAGGTCACCCAATGGCCAAGCTGGGATTTGAACCCTGATCTCTAGAATCGTAGTCCCAACACTCAAACCACTACACCACACTGGCTCTTCCACACTTTAGGTTTACTTCCAGACAAGTCTTTTATCCTATAATCATCTTGGTTTCATTACAGAATTTTACAGGAGGTCTAGAGATTATTTTTTTAACCTTCCTTTGCTTTCTTTTTGCATCTTCTAACTCCTTGCATACCAGAATGTATTTGTTCCCTTTTTTAAGGAGTAAAGGTGGAACAGATGCACACAATGCTTTTTCACTAATAGTTTTTCTTGCTGCTCTTTTGGAAGCAGCCTTAGGCCAGCCCTGAATTCACCATTGATCTCTTACAGTCTGTTCACATTTGAAAGTTGTTGCTTTCCATACATGCTTTCCTGACTTAGCAAAAAGTGGTTGTGGGACTTCAATCATGAGTGATCCTTAGAGATAATGGGAATTGTCCAACAACATCTGGAGGGCCACAGGCTCCTTGTCCCTGCTTTAGTGTGCATTACTATAAATACATGCAGGTGCACGCTCTGAGGCAAAACATGCATTGCACAGTGTACCATCTCTCACACTACAGTCGACAGGATCATTTTGAACAGTTGATAGTGTAGGCAAACTACAATGCAAAGATAGCCGTGTTTAGATCAACCAATAAAGTACAGAAAGGTTTGTAAATTTGGGCGATGTTTGGATTACTGAATCAGTCAAGATGTTTCAACAAGCAGAGGGCAGGAGGGAAAGGAATAGAGTTGATGTTCTAAAGCTGCATCTGCACTACAGAAATAACACAGTTTGACACTGTGTTTACTGTCATGGCTCAATGCTATGGATTTCTGGGATTTACTATTTTGTTGTGGCACCAGAGCTCTCTGAAAGACATGGATAACTATCTCACAAAACTACAAATCACAGAATTCCATAGCATGGAGCCATAACATACAAAGCAGTGTCAAACTGCATTATTTCCACAGTGCAGATGAGGATGTAGTGATGTAGTTTGCATTTTGCTTTGAAACATAATGAAGATGAAGGATCAGCATCTTTTCCAGTGGGGCTCACTAGATGAAGGGATGATGTTAAATATCACCCAGAAAAGCCCCTAGCATTGTCAAGAATGGAAAAACAAAAGTTCATTTCTCCTTGTAGTATAACTTTTACCCCAGAATCCTAACAGTCTCTGGGATTTTAAAGCAGAAAGGCCATTGTACAATAAATGAATGAAAGTTGTAACTATTGGATCACAGCCTTTATCACAGTAAGGTAAAGGGAGAGTGTGAGAAGATCTTGGAAAGTGAATCCTGATACTAAATGATTATCAATATGTTTAAGAGCAAATTATTGGAGTATACATGTTACTCCAGAGGAAATGGATGGGAAAGGACCTTATATCCTGTCTTGGGCAGTCAGACACTTAGGCCTGAGATTACAATATGATGATTGTGTTGTTTTTTTTAAAAAACAAATATGTCTTTTCCCCATCCAGGTATATGTTTCATGAAATCAAAACCTGTGTCTGCCTGCATTGCTGGCTGGTCAATTTATTTGCATTGTCTGCCAGGAGAGGGGGCCTTTAGCCTTCTTAGGAAAAGGGGAAGATACTTGCTTACTCTGTGGAGCCATCCAC